TGAAAGTATTTTGAAATGAAAAGTGTTGAAATATTAGATTATGAATTTTGTGAGGATTTGGACTGAGTTCATTTTTTGAAGATTACTGATTACCAGGAAGCACTGTAGGATTTGTTTCGTCTTACTTTAGCCCTCTTTAAGAATATACACCTAACACCCTACCAGAGGTGGTGACCACAGAATTTTCAGGTTACAAGGCAAAGCTCGTTGATCATTCAACCACTTGGATTGGAATTCAACATCCTGTGTAACCAATAACCAATGCCTAAGAAGGCTGGTGGGCTTCATAACCTGAAGGTCAAGGACTCGATCCTTGGTAGGGCCATGGATACGTACTGCTAAAAGCGTTCCACACACAAGGTCAAGAGACAGTGCTCCCTGATTTTCAGTGATTCTCTAATTAGTGTTCGTTTCGTGACAAGACATAATCAAAAAATTTGGAGAAATAGCAATGCTGACTAAGAAGAATAGGAAGACTCAGAAAAATTACGTAAAATACAAACAAGTTAATAGAATTAGCTAGAATTGTGAAGACTAACAAAGTCTAAAAGGCTCGAATAAAGAAAGCCACAGCTCAGCTCAATACTAGCTCGTCTCGTCGATACTGACTGGAAATCAAGTCGACTCTAACAAAGCTTTTAAAGTTATTTATCAATCGTAATTCACTCAACCTCTCTTCACATGGTCTACGAGTACGATTTTTACATACATACAGCAGAGGCAATCGGAATTCATCTGAACTCAAGCCAAATCTGTGTGTGTCAATTCGAAAGAAATTTGTACAGCACCTTTCCTTGCTATGCATGGCCAACTACATATGGTGTATAAAGTTTTTAAAAATAGGATATTTTCTCCTTCCCTTGTAACTACCTTTTGACTTTGTTGATTTTTACAATTCTAGCTAATTCTATTTATTAACTTGTTTGTATTTTACGTTATTCTTCATCATCATTGCTATTTTACATATTTCTTGATTATGAAATGGTTTGTTGCTAACGCCTAAGAATCAACTTATCCTGAATTCCTTAATCAAGTTTCACTTCTCCTTCCTTTGAAACTTGGATATCTTGTTACTAACATCTATGAGTTAATTGATGTTTCGATGAACTTAAACCTCCTAATTTCACCCATCACTCGCTTATGTATGCCTAAAACTGATTAACAAAAATAACCACTTGACTGGTAAAACAAAATTTTTGATGTGAAAAACTATTATTATATTATTGTGTAGAGCTGTGACGAGAGCAGGCTGCTAGCCAATTGGTAGACATTAATCGACGCTGATTGGTAGATAATAATCTAGGCTGATTCAACAACCAATCACAGCAGACTTAAACGTGGGCAAATATGATTCGCAGATAAATGACTCTACTTTCCGAGAAATATCGAAAACAACCAATCAGGAGACTGTGTTTGTCTTCCGAGAAACAACCAATTAGAAGACTGCCTTTTTCTGCTTGCATAAGCCTTATTAATGTACATAAAATATATATAAATACGCGTTGATTTTCGTAATAAAACGATCTGTTACCTGGCCCTTGTCTTCTGTTGTTACAGAGCCAGCCGATGATGAGGCACTAATTGAAAAGGAATGCGTATTTCTTTGCTCAATCTGTTTTCTCTCGTCTACGCCAGAGTCGGCGTAAACTGAGCACGTTGACCACTTCACTTATTTGGGAAGTACCATCAGCCCCAACGGGTTGATCTCTGACGAAATCTCAGCACGAATACAGGGGGCTAGTTTCGCATTTGTTAGCTTACGCCGACTCTGGCGTAGACGAGATGTTCGACTATCGACCAAAGGGTGGGTGTACTGCTCATAAGTCCGCTCCGTCCTCCTTTATGGTTGTGAGACCTGGCCACTGAGAGTGGAAGACATGAAAAGACTAACTGTCTTTGATCATAGGTGCCTGCGTTCTATTTCCCGTGTAAAGTGGCATAATAAGGTGAGCAACATGGAGGTTAGGCGTAGAGTTCTAGGTAAACAGGGGAAATCAATCGACGAAGTGGTGAAGCTACAAAGACTGAGATGGTTAGGACATGTGTTACGTATGCCAAGCCATCGCCTCCCTCGACGAGCAATGTTAGCGGATATAGGGTCAGGCTGGAAAAAAGCTAGCGGCGGTCAAACAAAAACTTGGCTTCACGAGTCAATGAAATCCACAACAGTTGGTCTAAGCCACGTAGAAAGGTGTAGACTTCCAGGCTGGGGTCCTCGGGACGGTAAAAATCTATGGTTGGAAACAATTGGTGACATGGCTCAAAACCGTTCTCAGTGGCGCAGATGCATCCACTCCTTGTGACTTATGATCTTCAATGAAACTGTTTTGTATTTCTTTATTACTCCTTTGTCTCACACCTCTGCTCACTGTTTCTATTATGCTTTTCTTGTACTTTCTTCTCTTGCTTCGTGTGCTACACGGAATGTGGCGACTTGAACCTCCGCACATTTGTGTAAAGTTCTATGTCGAAAACAGACAGACAAATGCGTAAATGGGAATTCGGAAATAAAGTATTTGAACTACATTCTATGTCTAAGCAAAGACAACTACATGATAAAGGACACTTTTTCCCTGGAATTGTTGATTACACACTAGAACCGGATAAAAATGAAAAGTAGAGATTACTGTCTATCGCCTCAAAAACAAACAATTAAATCGTAAGGTCTTCTTCATTCCATGCGTTTCGCGTGGAATAAACAACTTTAAGCCTTAAAATTTCAATAGCGGTGGGTTGTCAGTCTCACCAGTTTACGCCGTCTCTGGCATGGACGTGACATCAAGCTATCGACTAAATGACGTGTGTACTGTTCAGCAGTACTGCTGAAGAGTCCCAAACTAGGACGAGACAGCTGTCCAGTACTCCCAGGTTTTCCAGTGGTTCTTCAACTGATGTCAGCTCATGATGAAATCCTCCATACTTATGAATTGTCTGAATATTTACACCTATAGTATTAAATCCACTTAGAAGTCACTCAAAATCTAGACTAACTAATTCTTATGAACTAAAACATAGATTAGATAATTTAAAATTAGATAATGAAGAAAAAAATGGTTAGTTTTACCATTATCAGTTTATATGCACGTATACCGATAATAAATATAGCTATAGAGGCGGTCAGAAACGAACTAACTTTTTAATCAAGAACTTGAAAGTAGAAGCGAAGTACAACTAGAAGACATAATGCTAAGATGACTAATTGTTTAGTTGACTGATGTAATTGAAGCGTAATGCATTTTATCTTAATTTTAATCTCTCATAATTTCTTCCCATTATGTATATGAACATGACCTGATCTGAACATTCACACCTATCTTTCTGTATGATTAATTCAATGTAGTTTATTTGCTTACTTATCAGTCTTATATCTCCCAATGTAATTTCAAAAGTATATATATATATATATATATCCGTGTATGTAGAGTATTCGGCTGACGAGCCCTACCGAAATTTGATGAATTCATTACTCACCCCTTTTGTTATTGCTCGTGTGTAAATATTCCTGTCATGAAATAAATGTTTCCAGTTCTGTACATAGTGAGTTACCCAGTGTCAACTCTACAACAACTGAACACAAGAAGTTAAATGATTAAAAACATTCATCCAACTTGTATTTCTCCTACAATATCATCATAACGAAGTCTTGCAATATATACGCATATATTGATTTGAAGATATTAGATGGTTGGAGGCAATTGGCCACAGAAAGCCTTGGACCTAGATCTTGTACTAGTTGGCACTCATCAGCAAGGCGTATCTGCAACCTTGAATGAACTCATATCCTTTCTGAGATTCGAACCCGCATCACTCAGTGCTGCAGTCAGAGACGTTACCACTGAGCTATTACCACTAGGCTTTATGTTGACTGCCTCCAACCATCTAATATGATCAAATCAATGAGCACCGTGATGGCAAGCTACCTAGTGGAATGGTGGCCACATTACAAACCTGACTGGTAGAATGCAGTCTGCACCAAAGAAAGGACTAGACAGGTCACATTAGTTACTGACTAGTGTCCAATCAAAATATACACACACAGTTGTATTAGCACCAACGGACTGATTGGCTATGAAATCTCAGCACGGATCCGAAAAGTTCGAGCTGCTTTCGCTGACTTACACCATCTCTGGCGTAGGCGTGACATCCGGTTATCAACCAAGGGACGTGTGTACTGCTAACCAGTTCGCTCCGTCCTTCTCTATGGCTCTGCTCTGAAACATAGCCAATACGAGTTGAAGACATGAAAAGGTTGACTGCTTTCGATCATAGATGTCTGCGATCTCTGTCTCACGTTAGGTGGTTTCACAAGGTAAGTAATGTTGACATTAGGCGTAGAGTGTTGGGCAAAGAGGGAAAATCAATCGACGAGGCTATAAAGTTACATTGACTGAGATGGCTAGGTCACGTGCTGCGCATGCCTAACCATCACCTCCCCCGACGGGCATTGCTAGCTGATATAGGTGCAGGTTGGAAAAGAGCCAGTGGTGGCCAAACAAAAACATGGCCTCATCAATCCATGAAATCCTTGACAGTTAAACTGAGTCAGGTAGGGAGATGCAGACTCCCGGGTTGGGGTCCTCGCCTCGGGACTCTAGGAATCAATGGCTGGAGACAATAGGTGACATGGCTCGAAATCGTTGTCAATGGCGAAGATGTATTCAGTCTCTGTAATCTTTCATATTCCTTTCTACCATTACCCATTCTGTTTCACTCTTATACTTGTCAGACTGTATTGATTCTCCTCACTCATCTTTTTGTCTACCTCTGTATGCTATTTGGAAGGTGGCAACTCGAACTGGTGCACTTCGGTGCCAAGTTCTATGTTGAATCCAGACAGACAGACAGACAGACTCACACAGTTATCAATACAATATAAATATGCCGCAAACACCCTAGCATCACCACCCCTCCCCCGCCACCAAACAAATAGGGAGAAAAGTAATGTCAATCAACAAGTATAATTAAATGGCGGGGGGAGTGGTTTAGAAAAAAAGTAAATCTTCTAGAATAAGTTTTATTTGTAATTCTCTTTTTATTTTTCTCTCCAGTCAAAAAGGTTTCATCCTATATGTACAACAAGATAAACAGTCACATCTAGTATTGCGCTTATATTTTTATTCTAATGTGGTTGTGGAACATGCCCATCGACATAAAAGTTTCTTGTAGCTTTTGGCAAAGTGACTTTCATTCCGTCCAACTCTTCAGTTAAAGTGATTTGACAAGCTAATAAGAAAAAAAAGAATAGTGTGAATTAAAAGATTTCATTTTCAAAAGCACCTGTACAATCGCATTTATACACATGATTTTACATAGATACAATTCTTGTTTGATTCCACATAATTACGAAGGCGACAATTATTTTCAAATAGATATACTTTACGAGAGGTGTTAGAAACAAAATTACACACAGGATTAGAACGGATAACAAGTGTGCAAAAAGATGAGCATGGAAACAAAATTGAAATAATAATTTTCCACTTGAGATGGGAGTTTGGAGGTGTGAATACAGATTACAAGATCCTTAGAAACACTAACATTGCACAGGATTAAGATATAATTGTAATTCAAGTGTTGGTTTGTAGGGATTTGATTGGTTAACAGGATTTCATCGTGAGCTGACATTAGTTAGAGAACCATTGGAAAACCATCTGGGAGTACTGGACAGCTGTTTCGTCAGCCAGCCACGTAGGAAGGTGTAGACTTCCTGACTGGTTGGGGTCCTCAGGACGGTAAAAACCAATGGTTGGAAACAATTGGTGATATGGCTCAAAATCGTCCTCAGTGATGGCTGGTGCAGATGCATCCACTCCCTGTGACTTATGATTTCTAATGAAACTATATTTTTCCTAGTTATTACTAATCCTTTGTCTCACACCTCTGTTTACTATCTCTAATATGCATTTCTTCTGCTTTCTTTTCTTGCTTTGTGTGCTGCATGGAGGGAGTATGGCGATCTGAACTGCCGCACATATGTGCAAAGTTCTATGTCAAAAACAGACAGACAGACAGACAGTACGTAACGTTCACAATGAACTGTGATTAATACGTGAGGATCGTGATAATGTGACTAGTTGAAAGCGTAAATGAATGAAAAGGGAGACAGGTCAATATGCGAGAACTACCGAGGCATAAGTCTGATTGATATCGCTGCTAAGGTTTTTGTTTCCATTCTCCTGAACCGCTTCGCGGCCGAACGCCACGTGCGAACAAGGCCAAATCAAGCCGGATTTCGACCTGGAAGAGGCTGTGTTGATCAATTATTCACACTGCGAAGAATTTTGGAACACAGGGACAAATTCCAACAGCCGACGGTTGCCTGCTTCATCGACTTCCAAGCGGCATTCGACTCAGTTGATCGAGGAGCACTCTGGTATCTAATGGAGCTCGACGGAGTTCCGACCAAGCTAATCAACCTGCTCAGGTCATACTACTCCAACACCAAAGCTCGAGTCCGAGTGAACGGTGAAGAGTCCCGCACTTTTGAGGTAACCAGCGGTGTCCGGCAAGGTTGTCCAGCATCCCCCATCCTGTTCAATTTCACAGTTGATTGGATTTTGCGGCACGCCCTAACCGAGCACCACGGCGTCCAACTTTCGCCCGATATTCACATAACCGACCTCGAATTCGCCGACGACGTCGTGCTGTTAGCTGAAAACTTCCCCGATATGCAACAGGCGCTCGACCAGATAAACCACCTCGCGTCTACTATCGGTTTGAAAATTAACACTTCCAAAACCAAAATGTTTTCGAACACATCCGCCGGCAATGATGAAATCTTATCCTTAAATGGAGCACCTATTGAAATTGTGCCATCCTTCAGATATCTGGGATCCATAATGCTCCCCAACGGCCAAGCGAAAAACGAAGTGAATGCGCGAATCTCCAACGCCCGGAATGCGTTTCTACAGCTGAGGAGCGTTCTATGGAGCAAGAGAGAAATCAGTCTCAGGACTAAAATTCGGATCTACCAAGCTTCCATACGACCCGTTCTGCTGTATGGCTGTGAAACCTGGCCTCTTCGCGCGGAAGATTTACGCAGACTCGAGGTATTAGACCATTGGTGTCTCAGGTACATTCTGCATGTTCGTTGGCAGGACAAACTCTCCAACGAAGAAGTGCGTCGGCGTTGCTACAACATCAACCAAATTCCAGTACTGGTCCAACAACGCCGCCTTCGGTGGTTTGGCCATGTTCTGCGCCGACCAGATGACGATCTGGTCAAATCAGTTCTAAATCCCTCGCCATTACCATCTTGGCGATGTCGCAGAGGCGGACAGCTGAAGACATGGCTTGGTACAGTCAAGGCAGATATGGAGTGCCTGGGGCTACAAACGGTCTACGGACTCCGTATGTGGAACAAGAATTGGATATCCCTATCACAAAACCTTGCTTCAGATCGCCGCGCCTGGGCAGCGATGATTCGAGACGTTCATGAAGCCGGCTCATCCTCCCGTAGGAGATAGCCGAAGTAAAGTAAAGTAAGTAAGTAAGTAAATGAATGAACCGACTAACCTATGCATGCCATTTACACAACCTAGAAATCGTCATAATCAAGAATAAACTGCATAACACGTATTTTACAAGAAAAAACACAACACATTTACAAAATTAAACATACATAATCTTGAATTTTCTTGTAAAAATACAGCTAAATCTAACATATCTTCTTCAGCTTCAGAAGCAGGTGGTAACTGATCATAAAACTTCTCTTCAACATATACATGACAAGTGGAACACGCCAGTGAAGCTTCACATGCTCCTTCAATTTCAATACTATGTTGACGAGCCAGAGTCATTAAATTTTCGCCAACTTTTCCTTCAATACTTTTAATATCACCGTTACGATCGATAAAATTCACACGTACACTAAAATTGAACTGTTAACGTTTATGATATAGCGAGAACTACATTTTAGAAGCAGAGGGAGCAGCCGCATTGGCAGCGGCAGCAGAAGTAGCCGTAGTAGAGTCTCCACCATATTTTCTTAACTCTATCAGGGGTATGTAAAACAAAACAGAAATATAGGGAGTTGCTTACGATTGTAAAATAAGGTGGAAAAATGATGTCTGAAGCATCGAATTTTAGGCAACACAAGGGGCATTTCATATGCATTGAGGAGGAAAAAGATGATTGGTTCGACTGGTCCTTAAGCGCGTAAAACAAAACCAATCAGCTATGAGATCTGTGGAAAGAAGACAAAAAGAAAATAATACAAGAATGGTTAGTTCAGCATACTGGGTAACCAAAGTCTTAAATATCTGAGTAAAGTGGCAAAAACTGAAAACATAAGTTGAAACAATTTATTCAGTTATGTTTATGTTACTGAAGTGAGAAGTGCTGATTAAGGGCTATGTCTGTCTGTCTGTTTTCAACGTAGAACTTTGCACATATGTGCGGCAGTTCAAGTCGCCACACTCCCTCCATGCAGCACACAAAGCAAGAAAAGAAAGTAGAAGAAATGCATATTAGAGATAGTAAACAGAGGTGTGAGACAAAGGAATAGTAATAACTAGGAAAAATATAGTTTCATTAGAAATCATAAGTCACAGGGAGTGGATGCATCTGCACCAGCCATCACTGAGGACGATTTTGAGCCATATCACCAATTGTTTCCAACCATTGGTTTTTACCGTCCTGAGGACCCCAACCAGTCAGGAAGTCTACACCTTCCTACGTGGCTGGCTGGCTTAAACTAACTGTTGTGGATTTCATTGACGGATGAAGCCATGATTTGGTTTGACAGCCGCTAGCTAGCTCTTTTCCAGCCTGACCCTATATCAGCTAACATTGCCTGTTGGTCGAGAAAGGTGATGACTGAACATACGTAACACATGTCCTAACTATCTTAGTCGATGTTATTTCACAGCCTCATCGATTAAGAACTATGCGTAAGTTTGTGTAATTGGTTATTGTCTGTACGCTTACACATGTTTACAATATAATTATGCTGACTATTAGTTGTGATATACAACACACTAATATGCAAGGAAGTATAATATAATCCACAAAATTTTATGTGCGGTAACATGAGCAAACTTTAAAAAAAAACATATAAACCCATTTGCTTTCACACCAGGGGTTTAATAATTCTGCTTGAAATAAGAACAACGTTCAGCGAAAAGTGAAAAAAACAAAGAAAGAATTAAAAGATTATTAACAAAGTCGTAGAAAGAATTATGCCCAAGGTAGGAGGAGAGGATGGAGAAGTTTCTCCTGTGTTCATAAATCCGCGTTTTCTATCCGGATCTCTAAGGCCTCGGTAGTGGAAAGTACAAGGAAGCTTACCGTTTTCAGGAGACTTCTTTTAACTTTGTAGATGACTTTGAATGAATTCTCCGTGCATATGGAGTGACCAGTGTTGACCATATATTCAAATATAGCAGTCTATCATGACCCACTGTTATCTTTTCTTAGCCAACCTGGATAATGTTCTTTGACTCTATTAGATAAAACACCCATCGAACGACCTATATATCTCGTTCTACATGAGCAAGTAAATTGGTAGATACACACAGAAGTGGTCAAATGAGATAGTTTATCTTTGCACTTGTTGAAGAATAATCGACAACATAACAAAACCAATCGTAATTTAGCAGCGGAAAATGTTCTTTTCAGGGTGTTAGATAATCTTCTGTTTAGGATGTTGACCAGAAGGTCGCCTTTTAACGCCACACTGATGTATAGCATCTTATTCAGCACAGAGTTACGTTGTTCTTTGTTGATTTTCAGCCTTATGTGCTTATCCACGAAGCGTGGTGGATAGCTATTCTCAAGTAGTGTCTTTAAAAGAATGATCTCTTCTACAGATTTAGGGTTGCGGAGATATTATGAGGTTTCGCTTGAGATGGATTTATGCACACAGAAAAAACTCACCCAACCCCTCTTTCTACCTTGGGCATAATTCTAACTTCTACGACTTTGTTAATCATGTTTTAATTCTTTCTTTGTTTTTTGAATTTTTGTATAGCATCTAAGTAACATCTTCACCTCAACTAACGCCTTATTTACTCTTTCTGCTTACTACATAATTTGTTTTGGACACGTGTCTCCATTAACATCACATTTCATATCATGCAACCCTTTTCAATACTCAACCATCTTCGCCCCCTAGTTACAAATTTGATTATTCATCACATTTTAGAAACATTCTGATGACGTGAACAGTAAACCTAACTAATTTCTATTTTAACTTTGTTTGACAATCCTAATGTACACAAATACAAAATGATTATATCTAGATAAATGCGATTGTACAGCTAAGTGAATGAATTGACCGTCGAAAAGAGACTCTTCACTGAACCTTGTTGTTCTTATATTGATGTCTGAATGAACAACAATACACTAACGATCAGTTAGAAATGACAAGAGGCAGTCAGTAAGGAGGTGAAGGTTTGGTACCGATGAGAAGTCGGTGTTAGGTAACTATTCTTTCTTAAATAGAAAATTAGGGGCAATACCATTTGTCGGAGTAATTTTTAGGCAGACTGATGTGAAAGTTTTAAGAAAATGCATTGAAATTTCCCCCTGAATTTTTTAATAAGATCTAACTTCTGCACCAGAATTTCTTGCATTGAAATTAATACAGCACTTTAAGATGTTAATGAGTCAGACGCAAGTGCTTTCTCTCAACTCGGAGATAATTGGATTATCTGACACTGACCTCCGAAATCATGCGAAGAATACAAATCGAAAACGTATGGACTAAAGACTTACACAGTGAACGACTGACAGAATCCATAAACTAAAACTACATATAAACAGTTGAATCTGCAATGGTATTTGCGACGGATATTCAGTACTTTCACCCATCACTTCAATATCTAAAAGTGGTTATATGAATTCAACTGTCGGAATTATGGTAAGGATTTACATTAAATTCTATCACAACAGAAATCAGATTCACTGAACATATTAATTGGGACCAGGCGAAGGTAAATTATAGCAGCCATCCGGAACATAACGTACGAAATGTGATTAGAGCTATTAACAATAAAACCATAACAAATTATGTCTCTAGTTTTGGATTTAGTTATGAGTTTTGGAAACATTGAGTAATTGAATAGTTGATACTTTAATATTACTGAAACATGCACAATTAGACTTACGATAGCGACGAATTATCGCTCGCAAATTCTAAACTAACGATATTCTCTATAATGAACAAATTCAGAAATGAAAAGAAATTCAGAACAAAACTGTACTCTAGGTTTTCCTTCAACATTACCCACAGTGGTTCAGCGCCTACCCAATTCAGAGTTAGCTAGCATTATTTCAGAACTTCAGATTCATATAACGAGAAGGTTCTTGTGATCTGTGTCAATCCTCACTGCACTAGATATGCATTCAATGCTATTCCTAAATACCACCCTGATTACTCAAGTATATACTAGGTGTTTTAAGTACTCAAAATATTCTCGCAGCACTAGACCGCATTATCGACGCCTAGTTAAGAATGAGGTGTACATTGTTGTAAGCTTTGATGCAAGCTTACAATATGTGTATGCGTGCATGCCGTATGCACAAAGAACCTGCGGGAAGCACATTGGGAAGATAACTGCAAAAGCTTACAACAATTGTTGTGAACTAAATTTAGCTTTGATTAACTGTTAAAAGACAGCAGAAAGGCTAACTTCAGTAACTGCCATAGTTTAAATTTATCGATAAAAAGAGGGAAATTAACACAAATTACTAATACAAGTAGGCACCCAGGCATTACATCATAATTTGCTCAAGATCCAAAGTGACCTTGAAACAACGTGTACTTTGCTTTACCCGCTCTACTGTCCCAATACCCAATATCCTTTTGACGGAGCAGCATAACCCACATTGTTTTCTTTATCCTCACTTTTAAGTCTCAAGTTAAGGACTTCTAGGCAGAGTTAAATTATCACAGCAAAAATCGCAGTGATCATGAAAAACCAATCAGAATTTAGACGCAAAATGTCTCATAATCTTTGAAACACTCACCAAACACATTGTAAACATGATATAACATTATGTCGTTGTCGCTTATGTGTTGTGGGAATGTCCCTCAGTCACTACACAGACGATCTACTAGTAAATCATACCATGCGCCGTAGATTCATTCGTCGAGGTGTCTGTATGTCGTGGTACTTTGAGATCTATCGATATTTCTGACACTTCTTTAACATACTCCTAACTCTAATCATAACCACAAACTTAACCCTAAACCTAACCTGAACTCAAGACCCTAAACTTTGATCTGAAAACACATAACTCTAGCCAATTGCTCAGAAGAGTTACTTTAGGACTTGCTTGCATTAATTAGTTTTCATTTTAGGCCGGATGATGCATATTCTTTATTTCCATTGAGACGCTGCTTATCGGGCTTTCCCTGAAGTGTATTTTTAATTGACTTTTAAATCTCTTTGGATTTTAAGATGTTTTATCTTCAAAGAAATCTGAGACTTGGAATTGATGATGAGTGAATTATTAACATCCAAGTCTAGCTTATGTAACATAAACTCTAATTTCCTAGTTTTAGTGGTAAGGACATTTAAATCTACCTCAATGAAACGGCAGGTTGGTGTTTTCAATTCATTTCTATCTACAGTTTGTACAACATATGCTATAAAGTGTCTAATTCCCCTTCAGTTTCTTAGAAATAAAACAAAGTATTTTCATATGTGGTGAACGCAAATATAGTTTCAAACAGAATGTAGTAAAGAAAGCGAAAAAATCTACAAAAATTTCAAATAAATCAAGAAACAGAGCTCTAGCCACAGAAGGAGAGATTACAGGACAATAAAAATCAGAGGCAAGCAAACGACAAAATACCGCCGAAAACCCGACTCAAACAATCCAGAAAGGAAGGAAGCTGGGGAAGTGTGCCAATGAACAACAACAATCTAGTGAAAAACTGGGAAAGACTGCCTAGTGAAAAAAAACGAATGAAATAGGAGACAATAAAGTTCTATTCAAATTGTGGGTCTTATCCAAGTCTCTTCAACAATCGAGTTCTTATGTTGACGAACTTGAATGGGTTCAGACCACGAGAATGGAGATGGGGACCGTGAATTGGTCTTCTGTCAGCGCCATTAACTTGGATCGTCCACATTGGTGGTTGACAATACCAAGCTGAGTGTGAGTGTCGTCGTTTGTTTGGTGCAGCACAAGTTTCATGCAGTGGAACGGAATGTTGAACAACGAACGATCTGTGGTGACTAGGCTGCTGACGGAGCGTTTGGACAGTCTCATGAAATGTTCTGTCGCTGGGCTTCTGTGCGAGAATCAGGTTGCAGTATTTATCGAATTCAATTCAGCGTCACTCAACTTCCGCAGTCACAGTCTCATTTTCCATGCGTCGTCTTTGCTCGCGAAGTCCATTCCAAATAGGTGTTCGTAGCTGCAGAACCAAGTGTCGAATGTGAGCTTTGCATCTGGGTCACACACACACACCCACACACAAACTGAGAAATGCTGCCACCAATATTGTCATTAGCTGGAGATGAAGCATCACAGGATGACATCCGTAGACCTGCAAGCAACTCCATCACATTTGCTAGCTGCTGCATCACTTTCTCTAAACGTGAAGCCTACATTTTCACTTTATGCCTGTCACCAATTTCCACATGACCGTGATTACACTTGTAGTTGAGCCGACGAATTTACCACAGAAGTCGATTCGCCAGCCTATTGTTCTATCCGCCATTAGCACTAACAACACGATACGATACCAGCGAAAACGCGACTCAAGAAGACCAGACGAGAAGACAGACCGTTGACGTGGACAGCTTCCAGTGTCTCATGCCGACACTGAGAATCACTGACAGCGCCCGCCTCCGTGTATAATTCAAATGACCTGAGAGACACTAATATATATATATATTTCTTCCTGTTTATGCAGGAACATACCAATTGTACAGGCATGGTTAAGTTATTATATAAATTACACAAAATTTAATGTATAATGAATTTACAGTTTGGTTGTTCTTTCTGACATTAGAGTCAGTAGGAACAGTCTGCTATAAAGTCTGTTTGAGTAGCACATAAAGAGATATAGAAATATTGTCTTCGCATTAACAAAAAACCCAGACATCAGATAAATGTAATACAGATATCACATTGATTAATGATAACAGCCAAGAACCAATGGGATTCCCATGTCAGAATTCGACTGAGAGAAATACAACCTGACGTGTAACAGCACAGGTAGAAAATTTGGGTAAATTTGTGACCGCCCACACGCCCCACTGTCAAAAAGAAGAACACGAACGTGTACAACAAAATTCCATACCTGTACCGAAAATACGGTGTGGAGTCAAGCGGTAATCAAAAATAACAAAACAATTAGTACCTCGTTTCGTTTGGGTCAACTTGGAAACGTAGTGTGTGGGATCTGTTTCGATTGGATTGCCTTCTGTACTGAGATTCGGTTTTGTTCTGGGACTCCCGTTGTTTTGCCTACGTATCCACTCGAGGCAGTCTAAATGTGTCGGCGTCTGCACTCTGGTTGGCGAACCTTCCTGACAACATTCATCTTCGTCACCAGTGGTGTGGCATCGTCGACATTCATTGTGTCTGTATGGGCATGATTTGATGCAGTGCGAAGCCACACGGTGCCATCAGGCTGAAGGCGGCGTCTGCTATGGACGACGTGGTGATTTTCCACCTCGACGGAACTGGACACACCGCATTTCTTTCGCCTACACTGTGGCCGTCAGATTGGATCAAGCTGGTATCTTCGCGAAGCTTGATGAGTCGCTCATACTCTCCACCAATGTCTTTCAACGTCACTTGTGGGTCTTGTCCAAGTCTGTTCAACAATCGAGTTCTTATGTCGACGAACTTGAATGGGTTCAGACCACGAGAATGGAGATGGGGACCGTGAATTGGTCTTCTGTCAGCGCCATTAACTTGGATCGTCCACATTGGTGGTTGACAATACCAAGCTGAGTGTGAGTGTCGTCGTTCGTTTGGTGCAGCACAAGTTTCATGCAGTGGAATGGAATGTTGAACAACGAACGATCTGTGGTGACTAGGCTGCTGACGGAGCGTTTGGACAGTCTCATGAAATGTTCTGTCGCTGGGCTTCTGTGCGAGAATCAGGTTGCAGTATTTATCGAATTCAATTCAGCGTCACTCAACTTCCGCAGTCACAGTCTCATTTTCCATGCGTCGTCTTTGCTCGCGAAGTCCATTCCAAATAGGTGTTCGTAGCTGCAGAACCAAGTGTCGAATGTGAGCTTTGCATCTAGGTCACACACACACACACCCACACACAAACTGAGAAATGCTGCCACCAATATTGTCATTGGCTGGAGACGAAGCATCACAGGATGACATCCGGAGAACTGCAAGAAACCCCATCACATTTGCTAGCTGTTCCATCAATATGCTATCTGCACCATCACCTTCTATAAACGTGAAGCCTACATTTCCACTTTATGCCTGTCACCAATTTCCACATGACCGTGATTACACTTGTAGTTGAGCCGACGAATTTACCACAGAAGTCGATTCGCCAGCCTATTGTTCTATCCGCCATTAGCACTAACAACACGATACGATACCAGCGAAAACGCGACTCAAGAAGACCAGACGAGAAGACAGACCGTTGACGTGGACAGCTTCCAGTGTCTCATGCCGACACTGAGAATCACTGACAGCGCCCGCCTCCGTGTATAATTCAAATGACCTGAGAGACACTAATCACATTGATTAATGATAACAGCCAAGAACCAATGGGATTCCCATGTCAGAATTCGACTGAGAGAAATACAACCTGACGTGTAACAGCACAGGTAGAAAATTTGGGTAAATTTGTGACCGCCCACACGCCCCACTGTCAAAAAGAAGAACACGAACGTGTACAACAAAATTCCATACCTGCACCGAAAATACGGTGTGGAGTCAAGCGGTAATCAAAAATAACAAAACAATTAGTACCTCGTTTCGTTTGGGTCAACTTGGAAACGTAGTGTGTGGGATCTGTTTCGATTGGATTGCCTTCTGTACTGAGATTCGGTTTTGTTCTGGGACTCCCGTTGTTTTGCCTACGTATCCACTCGAGGCAGTCTAAATGTGTCGGCGTCTGCACTCTGGTTGGCGAACCTTCCTGACAACATTCATCTTCGTCACCAGTGGTGTGGCATCGTCGACATTCATTGTGTCTGTATGGGCATGATTTGATGCAGTGCGAAGCCACACGGTGCCATCAGGCTGAAGGCGGCGTCTGCTATGGACGACGCGGTGATTCTTCACCCCGACGGAACTGGACACACCGCATTTCTTTCGCCTACACTGTGGCCGCCAGATTGGATCAAGCTGGTATCTTCGCGAAGCTTGATGAGTCGCTCATACTCTCCACCAATGTCTTTCAACGTCACTTGTGGGTCTTGTCCAAGTCTGTTCAACAATCGAGTTCTTATGTCGACGAACTTGAATGGGTTCAGACCACGAGAATGGAGATGGGGACCGTGAATTGGTCTTCTGTCAGCGCCATTAACTTGGATCGTCCACATTGGTGGTTGACAATACCAAGCTGAGTGTGAGTGTCGTCGTTCGTTTGGTGCAGCACAAGTTTCATGCAGTGGAATGGAATGTTGAACAACGAACGATCTGTGGTGACTAGGCTGCTGACGGAGCGTTTGGACAGTCTCATGAAATGTTCTGTCGCTGGGCTTCTGTGCGAGAATCAGGTTGCAGTATTTATCGAATTCAATTCAGCGTCACTCAACTTCCGCAGTCACAGTCTCATTTTCCATGCGTCGTCTTTGCTCGCGAAGTCCATTCCAAATAGGTGTTCGTAGCTGCAGAACCAAGTGTCGAATGTGAGCTTTGCATCTAGGTCACACACACACACACCCACACACAAACTGAGAAATGCTGCCACCAATATTGTC